CAATCAGTAGTATATTTTTGAGGCGCAAAATACATCACTACCTTATTAATGTTTACAAATTAACAATTAGTAAGCAGACGAGTTTTATTACATGTATATGAAGAAGTTTAACGTAACGATGTTGTATGTAAGAGTGAACAAGGAAGCTACAGAATACTTATAATGTTACACAAGGGCAGCTCCGCTATACATTACCATCACGTAAGGGCGGTTTTTATTATGAAAATTTAAGGATCTAAGAAATATCATTTTAAAATGAAACATTCGTGTAACCGCACAAAGGAAGTAGTAATTGATTATCTCTGATACCTTTAGTTGAGTTTGTTAAAAGTTGATTTGAGAAAATGTGAAGAAAAATACCTTAACTTGCATAAGGATAAATTGTCTCTCACAAAATTAGTTGAAAAAGTGGGGAGTAAAAAGAGAGAGAATTTCATGAGAATGCAAAATAAAATCAAGGATTATGGTAACGTACAAAGGACATAAATGGAATTTTAAAGAAAGTGCAAGGAGTAAAATAGGAAACGATATATTAATTTTATGTGATATCAAGGAGTGATAGAGTGATGAAAACCTAGCCATCTTCAAACCAATTTTCACGCAAACCTTCTCGCCAAATCCTTCAATTTATTCATTCTTTTCAAAAAGAAATAGAATTAATAGCTTTGGGTATTTGTGGGAGTGGAGTGTCAATCTCAAACTCTTATGTAAAATTCCTTGCCACTAAGCAGGATTTTCATTTTAAAAGTGTTGAATTTTGCTGGTTTATGATCATAGGATTAAGCGGAAGAGAGTCTGATCAAAGGAAGATCTTTAAAGGGTGGATGCTATATCAAGGTAAGTAAATCTACCCTAAGACGATTTGAGTTATTGGTGCTGTAGAGAATTTCTTTATGCAGTATTGTGGTTCTATGTAGAAGTGTTGATGGATTTGGGTTGATGATGATCCGAACTATCCATGAGGAAGTGGTTGGTGTATTGGATACTTTGATGAAGGTTTGGTGAAATTTGGACGAATTGAAGTGGAAACTTTCGGAGGTGTTGTTTGGGGCAAGATTTGGCGTAATATGGAGGATGCTATTCTAAATTTTTGGCTGGCTAGAACGAGAGAGTAAGTGTAGCCAAATTAAATGTTGATTTGTGCACATAAACTGTTTGATGAATGCAAAAGAGATAAGTGCATGTATGAGTAGATATGTGTTACTTTTGGGATGAGTGTGTAGATGGTAGAGAAGACATGTTTGCATTTAATAATGAATAATTACATTTAAACGGGGAATTATAAAAAAAGAATTATAAGCAGAAACCATCTACATGCATACATATTCATAAGAGCATGAAAAAACCCGTACATATGTAAAGAGAAAATAGAAAGAAATGAGAATATTAAAGATATTCAAATCTGAATTTTTATTTAAAGAAGTGTAAAAAGATAAAAAGAAGAGAAGGTTGTTGTGATGGGGAGTCCGTGATTGACATAGTCTCACATGCACGCCGCCTTTAGTGAGCGGCCTCAGAATTCAGAAAGAAGAATTGTACAGTCCGTTAGAAGTGCGTGTGGATGAGTACTGTACCCAGAATTAGAGAATTTACTCACATGGCCAAGGTTCCAAATCCATGCTTCAACCGAGTCCAATCGGCAAGAAAAGAAAGAATAGAAAAAAAAAAAGAAAAAAAGAATAGAAAGAAAGACTAGAAAAGAAAGAATAGAAAGAAAGACTAGAAAAGAAAGGAAAGGAAGAAATAAAGAAAAAGGAACAGAAAACAGAATAAGAAAAAAATAGAAAAGAAAATGCATACTCTATGCATTTGTGCATTTGCATTATGAATTTGCACAATACCATGCTCATTATCATAAGTAGTGAAAATTAGAAAATTGAGAGAAAAACAGAGAGCAAAACAGAGAAAGAATGAGAAATAATAGAGAAAAAACAGAGAAAGAATAGAGAACACTCGGGAAATGAGTTGTAAGGAAAGAAAATTCAGAACTTAAGCGACGAAGAGAGAAGGGCAGCATAGCGGGTTTATTTACTGAACAATTAGTGTTCACTCCGTTGTTTTCAATGTTTTTGTAGGTAATATGTGAGTTGCGGTTACTCGGAACGTCACGTAGTGGAAAATTTAAGAATCTAAAGATACTCATTTAAAATGAAACATCTTCAATGGGTTCACCAACTTGATGGAGCAGTGCCCATAATCACAAGAGTCTTGAGATTGTTTTAACATTAATCATGTTTGCTGTTTCACATACTTGCCTTGGTATAGATGGAGACTATTATGGAGAAGATTGTTGACTTCAATGATCAAATTAGTCGGACTTATTTTAAAGTCACAAAGTTTATTTCTTTTTGTCGTTTTGATAAGATTTCAAAAACGCTTATAGAATTTAAAATAAACTATTTTACTACTTATAAGAGAGGCTTAAAATTTATGTTTTTCCGAGAAACTCTTTTTTGAGTATCATTATTTTATTTTAAATATTTGACTTGATTTATTTTTGTATATTGAAACCTTTTTTGTAAATTAACATTGGAAAATCCTTTTACATTCTTTTAATCATACAATAACAACTTTTTTACAAAAATTATATTTTGTTAAGTTCTTCTTCAAGAAGCTTTACTCGGGTAAACCATACCAAACAAACCCTATTTTAAGAGCAAAATACAACNCTCCTCAATTTCTGGCAGGTCATGAACCATGTTTGCATTCTTCAACTCTTTGAGGCCATTATAGTGATAATGGCCAAGCCTTTTGTGCCATGTTTCTGAGTCTTCTAGCCTAGTTGACAATGCAAATTCATTGGTGTTTTTCCACTCAACCAGTGAGCTTTTCCTTAGCATCTTTACACTCATCAATTCAGCCCCTTTAGGATCTAATATGGTACATGCTTGGTTTTCAAAGTTTAAGAAATAACCCCTCTCTAGCATTTGTCCCACAGTCAATAGATTTTGACTAATTCTAGGAACATACAACACATAAGGAATTATTTTTGTACCTGACCAAGTTTGGACAGCAACATCCCCCAAGCCTTTGACGTCCATGAATTCACTATTTCCTATCTTGACTCTGGAGCTTTATGATCTATCCAGGCTTACAAAATTTCGCAGGTCTGCAGCCATGTGATTTGTGCAGCCACTGTCAATTAACCAAGCTTCATTGTTGGTTTGTGCAGTGTAACAAGTGGCCACAAAAAGTTGTTCAGCCTCTTGACATTGTTGCTGATCCTCTCCAACTTTTGCTTGCTATGTTGGCTGGTTTCCTTTGTTCTTACACACCCTTTTAATATGCCCGAATTGCTTACAACTCTTGCACTGTATACCTGACCTGAACCAGCATCTTCTCTCCAGATACCCTTTCTTTTTACATTGAGTACAGGCCAGAAATTCTTTCACTCCACCAGGCCTTTCCCACTGGTTACTACTCTTCTCTTTCCCCTTTCTATCTCCAGCATACTTCCTTGTTTGTCCTTGTGCAGGTTTACTTTTGTAACTTGCAACCATTGCACCCTCACTAGTGTCTTCTTGCCTCATGAGTCTCCTTTGTTCTTGCGCTTGGAGAGAATGAACAAGCTCAGTCAATGTGATCTGAGTCATGTCCTTAGGGTCCTCCAAAGAAGAGATTTTGGACTCAAATCTTTTCGGAAGACTTACCAAAACCTTTTCCACAACCCTTCGGTCAGTCAACTCTACTCCCATTAGTCTGATTTTATTGACAACACTCATTAGTCTATCAACGTAATCCTTCACTTTCTCAGCCTCTTGCATCCTTTGCATTTCAAATTCTCTCCTTAGATTTAGCACTTGCATATTTCTTGTTGTAGTGCTTCCCATATACTCTTCTCTCAACTTGTCCCGTGCTTCTTTTGGGGTCTCAAATGCCATGATCCTTGTGAATACAAGGTCAGTCACAGCCGCATGAATGTGAGAGAGAGCTCTGGGTGCTTTGATAGCTTCTTCTTCAACTGATCTAATCTGGCTCAAGGTAGGGTCTAGTCCCAAGGGTATTGGCTGTCTATTTTCTTCCACATACTGCCACAGTCCCTGCGCCCTGAGAAAGGCTTTCATCTTGACAGCCCAAATGTGTTAATGTTCCCCATTGAAGACCGGTGGAGCCATCAAGGCTGTTTGACTAGTCATGCTCTGTTTTTCGCGTCTGATGCAGAGAAGAAGAAAGTCAGATGCAGGTTAAGTTTTTGCTGAGAATGGAGTGTGTTGTTGAGTCGTAAACGAAAGGCTTAGGATGCTAAGTTTCTGGTTTTTGCAAATAGCTCTGATACCATTTGTAGGTTTTTAGCCAGAGAATACTAAAAGAAAACGAAGATGAAAACAGAGCACTTAATATGAATTTTTGAAAATCCCAGTTTTGTATTCAAACTGATCAATATATACAGTTCATTGATCATGGACACTTATACAACACTTAACAACTCTCTGCTAATTACACCAACTACAGCAGACATTACAACTTTCAAAATTCAAAAAACACCACACATGTTACTTCTAAAACACTTTACTTAAATACCCTTAATTCTCTAAACACATTATTACACAAAAGCACTCCCATGCACGTTAAGACCACTGCTGCATGTAACCTTCTGCATCTTCCACTCCCAAGCTTGCAGACTTGATCACTTGCAATATTTCCAGCACAGCATCACTACATCAACAGTTATTGTACACAATCCAAAGCATACCGGTTATATAACCCTCTTAGTGGCAAGATAATAATAAGCAGGAATATAGTATTTGATCAAGATGCAAGCTGGGATTGGCATGGAAGTGATGAGAACATGCAAAAGCAGATTCCAATATACAATGGGACCTCTCCAAATGAAAGTCAAGAGCCATCTCCGTCAGCGTCACCAAGCTTATCATCCTCAGCGTCACCAAGTTCATCATCCACAACCTTGAGCCAAAACTCTACATAACTCTACATAGGTGTATGTAGAGTTTATTCTCAATAAATTTGGCATGCTCAACTGCAAATCTATAGCTACGCCAATGAACATTAATGAGAAATTGCAACTTGAAGATGGAGTGCAAATGGCTGATGCTAAAAGTTTCAGAAGTTTAGTCGGAGGCTTGATTTATCTAACTCACACTCGGCCCGATATTGCATTTTCTATTGGTATGATTTCCAGGTTTATGCAACATCCTTCAAAGCAACATTTTGGAGCAGCAAAGCGGGTCTTGCGTTACATTGCAGGAACTATGGATTATGGAATCTGGTATTCAAAAGTTTCCAATTTCAGATTATGTGGGTTCACTGACAACGATTGGGCAAGTTCGTTAGATGATAGGCGGAGTATTTTAGCAAATGTTTTCAGTCTTGGATCAGGAGTGATCACTTGGAGCTCAAAGAAGCAAGCCACAACAGCATTGTCTTCTTCAGAAGCAGAATACGTTGCAGCAACCTCAGCAGCTTGTCAAGCTATTTGGTTAAGGAGAATATTAGCAGAACTTCATCAAAAGCAAGAAGGAGCAACAACAATATTCCGTGACAACAAAGCAACAATCTCCATGACAAAAAATCCAATTTTTCATGGCAGAACAAAGCATATTGATATTCGTTTCCATTTCATCTGAGATTTGGTTGCGACTGAGGAGATAACTTTGAAGCATTGTAATACAAATGACCAATTGGCAGATATACTTACCAAGCCTCTGCCAAGAGGGAAGTTNCAACTTTCAAAATTCAAAAATCACCACACATGTTACTTCTAATACACTTTACTTAAATACCCTTAATTCTCTAAACACGTTATTACACAAAAGCACTCCCATGCACGTTAAGACCACTGCTGCATGTAACCTTCTGCATCTTCCACTCCCAAGCTTGCAGACTTGACCACTTGCAATATTTCCAGCACAGCATCACTACATCAACAAAGCGGTGGTTGTTTTAGCGACAGAAGTAGTATTCTATTGTTGTTGTTCCCTTTGTCCTTGTTGCTCCATCTATTATAATATCAGAAACACAGTTCGTTTCTAATCAAATCTAAAAGATTTAGAAAAAGAGACGAAGACTCTGACTGATCTCAAAGACAACATCAATCAACAACTTGCAGCTGTAGAGAAAGTTGGGAAGCCTCCAAAAACTCAAGTGAAACAGTAGCTTGAAGAGGTTGAAGCATTTCTGCTTCGACTGAAGTCACTGCAAACAAGTATGGAGACCCACAAGGAAAGACGCAATGGATGCTTGTTTAATTGCAGTCAACGGTGCAAATTCAGCAAGGAAGTGGCAACAGTGTTGGAGGAGGTTAAAAGACTTACAACAGCTGGAAATTTCCCTACTGGCATAGTTGACCAAGTCCCTGAACCTTCAAATGTTGATCAAGCAACAAGCTAGTGAACTTCAGGGAAACTTCAGTCTTCATCCTACCTCTTTTTGTGTGTTCACATATACCTATGATCGGAACTCATATCTAAACCAGAGCCGATATCAAGATCTCTCCACTGCCTTCCAATTCGCTCATGCTGGGATTAATGCCAGGTTGTTAGAATTAATATGGAAGAGTATTGTGTTCCACTTTAGTTGAGACTTCGGCGAGAAACAGGGCATAAATCACTGTTTGGCGAAGCCTGACTAATTGTAGGTGTTTTGGCCGGAGAAAAGAAAGAAAAGCATGTATTGGGAGAAAGTTCTGCATTTTCCATTCATTAGCATTACAAATATCAGTCCAAAATATCCACTGTTGCACCAACTTTGCAAGGTTATTTACAAATTTGAATTTAAACCAAAACTTACAACTAATACATGTCTTAATCACAGCTGAGTACACCTAAACATATCAACTTCAGCAACTCACGCACGGCAGAATGCAAGGCAAAAACAGAGAGTTCTTTGGGGCCAAAATGTTTTCAAAACCAAACTGAAATTCAGTTACATTTCCAGTAAAATATCACTGTTTCAATACTCCTTGATATTTTTGCTGAAAACACGAAGTCTGAGCCTAAAGTCTTCAAACTTGGCTTTGGACAAGCCTTTGGTCATGATATCAGCCACTTGATCTTCACCCCTGAAATGGACCAGCTTAACTTCCCCATCTTGTTCAGCTTCTCTTACTGCATAGGACTTGATTTTTTTGTGCTTGGTTCATCCATGATGAACTGGATTTTTAGCAATAGCCATAGCCGATTGATTGTCACACATAATTGTAGTATGATTTCTTTGTTTCAGCTTTAGGTATTCTAGGATTTTTCTTAACCGAATGGCTTGATTCACAGCAGCAACAGCTGAAATATACTCTGCTTCTACTGTGGATTGAGCCACAGTTTTCTGCTTTTTGGAAAGCCAACAAATTGCACCGCAATTCAGGGAAAATGCATAACCTGAAGTGCTTCTCATGTTCTCTATTGAGCCACCCCAATCACTGTCAGAAAATCCCACCAATTCAAAGTTTTCTGACCTCCTAAACCATACTCCAAAATCAGTGCTACCCTTTACATATCTTAGCACCCTTTTTGCAGCTTTGAAGTGTGTTTCCTCGGGCTGACTCATAAACCTGGACAGCAAGCTTGTAGCATACATTATTTTTGGCCTGGTTGCTGTTAAATACAACAAACAACCAATCAAACCCCTATACAGCCCTTCATCAATAGTCACTGCATCATCATCTTTGGAAAGCCTTTGATTAGGAATAAATGGAATGTCCACTGGTTTGCAATTCTCCATGTTGAATTTCCTTAAAACTTCACTTGCATACTTCTGCTGGTTGACAAAGATCCCATTTGAGCTTTGATAAACCTGCATCCCAAGGAAATAAGACATTTCCCCTAAATCAGTCATCTCAAACTCATTGAGCATGGACTTCTTGAACTCCTCCAATTGAGCAAGTTTGCTCCTTGTCACTAAAAGGTCATCAACATACAAAGAAATAATCATCACATCCTCATCTACTTCTCTAACATACAAAGTATGTTCACTTGGACTCCTCACAAAATCCAAGCTTATTAAGTGAATATTGATCCTGCTGTACCAGACCTTTGGTGCCTGTTTCAGGCCATATAAGGCCTTCTTTAAGAGGTAAACTTTATCCTCACTTCCTTTGATCTGGTACCCTTTTGACTGTTCAACATATAGTTCTTCATTCAGCCATCCATTAGGAAGGCTGATTTAACATCCAATTGAAAAATTTTCTAGCCAAATTGAGCTGCCACAACAAGTAATAATCTAATTGTATCATGCCGAGCTACCAATGCAAAGGTGTCCGAGAAATCAACTCCATATTGTTGAGCAAAGCCTTTGACAACAACCTAGCTTTGTGCTTAAGAACTGAGCCATCCAGATTGAGTTTCCTCTTGAAAATCCATTTAACTTGGATTACTTTTCTATTCTCAGGTCTGTCCATAAGTTTCAAGGTTTGGTTCTTCTCAATCATTGCTAACTCCTTTTTCTTGGCAGTTCTCCAAGCCTCTGATTTTACTGCTTTAGAGTAGTTTGTTAGTTCAAGTAAAGTCATGTTGCACCTCTCATACACCTTAGCTAAAGCTCTAATGCCTCTAACGAAGAACTCTTCTTCTGCATCACTCTCTTCTTCATCAAAAAACTAATCACCAGCAACTTCTATAAATTGAGGTCTTGTCTCTACATCAACTTTTCTTTCTTCCCAATTCCAAACTCCATCCTCATCTACCTTGACATCCCTGGAGATCAGAATCTTCTTGGATTCTGGAATATACACTCGGTAACCTTTGGATTGGCTGCTATAGCCAATGAAAATTCCAGTCAAGGCCTTATCATCCAACTTGGTTCTTTTTGCTGCTGGAACTAAAACATGGTATACACAACCAAAAATTTTGAGATTGTATACTGTTGGTTTGACTCTATACCAGGCTTCATAAGGAGTTTGGTTGGCCAAGGGTTTTGTGGGAAGCCTATTGAGCAGGTAGATTACGGTGTTGACAGCCTCTGCGTAAAAACTCTTTGGCAACTTATTCTTAGCAACCATACACATTGCCATCTCCATAATAAACCTATTCTTCCTTTCACTAACTCCATTCTACTGTGGAGTGTAGGGGCTACTAAACTAATGTCTAATTCCAGTCTCCTTGCAAATTTGCTCAAACTCTTGAGAAGTGTATTCAGTCCCATTGTCACTTCTCAAAGTTTTAATTATTTTTCCTGTTTGGTTTTCCACCAGCTGCTTGAACTTCTTAAACACACCAGCCACCTCACTTTTTTGCTTCAAAAAATACACCTAACACATCATGGACTAGTCATTATAAACAACACAAAGTACCTACTTTCACTCAATGATAAGGTTTGCATAAGGCCACACACATCTGAGTGAATGAGCTGAATCAGCAGCTCTCTAGGCTTGGTTTATGGGAAAAGGCTGCCTACTCAACTTGCCAAGTTGACAAGTAGGGCATACTTGGTTTCTTCAATTTCGAGCAAATTCTAGACCAACTTTTTGGTCTGAATTTCTTTAAATCCATGGTGATGGAAATGGCAAAACATTTTATGCAATTTTTCAAACTCATTTACCCTAGCATTATAGGCCCTAACTTTTGATTTTTCCCACTTGATAGGGAAGCTCTTTCCCACCATTTTACCCTTATGAGTTCACATCCTTCACTTGTTAGTGTATGCCCTAGGAACCAATCGTGTTGTCGGTTTCAGGACATTATATCTTGTAAATATATTATCAATAAAAGAAAGTGTTCTTATTTCACATGTTGATTTTATGCTTCATTTATATTATATTATATTTAATATTGCATGTGAAATGTCCGGATGACACGGATCTTCAGAAGATCAAATCATCAAAGAATTCCCTATGCAAGTAATGTTAATTGGGCAATAACATTGCATAGTAGGTTGAATGTCTCTATTGAATATCATGTAATGGTATTAGTGTGGGTGATTATAAAAGGTATGTCACTAAGGAATTAGCATGGATAAACAGTTAGTGAACTGTATATCGAATACGATCGATTACGATGAATCACATGGATATAGTCAATGATGCATCGTACGTAGGATCGTGCTAGTGTACCATTGATCTGTAGACCTGAGACATCACGGTTGGATTCAACATAGGATGTATATGGTTCATATGGTGTATAAGCACGAGACTAGTCATGTCTTGTGTAATCAGCCGGTTTGGTCATATGTTATTCATGTACGAGGACAAGTGATAGTCAAAATGGGATCCGTTAACTCAAAATAGTCCAATCTCGAGTTCCCAGACAAATGTCAATAAACATTGGAAAAGGGAAATCTCTGGCCAGAGTATAATGAATGTCAGATGAAAAGTAGTTTCATGTTGATGAGTTCCATTGTATCGATTGACAATTCGATTAAAGATTAAGTTAAATGTTTTGACATACCATGAACCATTCTTAATCGGGATTAGATAACGGAGGGATTTGACTACACGGTACGTACGATCAGAATAGGTTCATTAGAGTTTACAATTCATTGTGGTTTAGGGGTTATGGAATATTGCTAGATGTTTATCATAATCAGTGGGAGTTTTGATTATAAAGAATTATAACAAAACATATCAAAATCAGATATTGGGCCCACGGCTAGATCACAGTGAACCAAAATGGTCACACATAAAACCAAGCTCAAGGAG